CATACTTTTATTTTTGCCACTTCAATTATACATTTACCACTTTCATGGAAATTTCATTGGCTAAGAAGTCCAACACAAACGCCTGTTCACAAATTTGGATAGAAACACGACAAAAAGCAAGAGGATTAAGAAAGTAATTTGGCTTTTGATTTGTCCCATTTTCTATGGATCTTTGATTTCTCTTGAGTTAGTGTCTGAACTTGATGTGTACTCTGCCACAAGCTTTGAGAAAGAAGACGACTTGTCTTCAAGTAATCTCGCCGGTGAATCATGTTCTTTGATAAGCCCTGCACTTAGATAGATATACCAATATTAATACAAGTCTACTGATTATTAAAAAAAAACGTAAATAGAATTTGTATGATCATGTTGTGTTCACGACCTTCGTCTAGGAGCAAGACCATATCGCTGTCTATAACAGAGGATATTCTGTGTGCAATTGTTATCACCGTACAATCCGAGAAATGTTGTCTCAGAGTCTCCTGTATCAGATTGTCAGTAGCAGTATCTACAGAAGCAGTGGCTTCATCCAGAACCAATACTTTGCTTCTCTTGAGCAATACTCGTCCCAGACACACCAGTTGTCTCTGACCAACACTCCAGTTCTGTCCATTCTCGCTAACTGAAATACAAAATGCTCAGGTTTCATTCAATAGATATGTGTAAGCAATTCAAGATGACTCTTTTTGAAAGTAGTTTTGTACCAACCAGTGGAGTCGAGCTTTAGTTCTTTCTTCCTTACTTCATCCCCGAGTTGGCACTTGTCAAGTGCCTGAAACAAGGAACCAAAACTAATGTGAGAAGTGTCCTTTTGTTATCTGTAGAAACACGGAAAGAAACAAGAGGCGACGAACCTCCCATATTTCGTCATCAGTGTATTCCTCAAGAGGGTCCAAGTTACTACGAACCGTGCCTTCAAACATGGTTGGATCTTGAGGTATGATACTTAGTCTAGAACGCAAGTCGTGTAGCCCAATGGTCAAGATGTTTATTCCGTCAATCCTGATTTCTCCGGCTGAAGGTTCCACAATCCTAAAAAGGGTTTGAATTAGAGTGGATTTACCACATCCTGTTCTTCCAACGATTCCGGTTTTCAGGCCTCCTGGAAAAGTGCATGTCAATCCATGCAGAACCATAGGCAAATGTGGCCCATACCGCACCTGCAGATTACAGATAGTAATCTCTCCACGAGAAGGCCATGATTTCTCGGGCCGATTTGATTCAATCACAAGAGGTGGCTCACTGGAGATGTTTGTGTATTGAAGCATTCTCTCCACAGAAATCATTTTGTTCTCAAGACTGCATAGTGTCCATATTAAAGTTGATTGCAGGCTATTTAGATTGAGAGCATATGTAACCGCCAATCCTGCAAAGCCTTTAAGAAGCAGAATACCGAGAAAAGCCACGCAAGAGTTTCAGTTGTGAATCTGAACCAAAACAAAAGCAATGATAAAAGGGCGGTGACTTACTTGGATTAATGGCTCCTTCAGGTGCAGAAACTAAGATAACAAGTGAAAGTGCAAATGCGATAGTGGATAAGAGATCAAGGCGGAAGCAGAGCCATTCCATTACACCATCGGAATGGAACCTCAGCCGAGAATAACAATCGGTAAGTCTCATGATGTCGCTGAGAAATCTTGATTCTTGATCAAAGCTCCTGATAGTAGTTATCCCTGAAAGTGTTTCAGAAAAATGATGTACCAAGGGTGATCTGCTTATTCCAGCCAATCTCGCGAGTTCCCGAGCCGCAGATATGTAATATTGCTGAGTACATAGATAAAATCAATAAGTAAGAGTGAGAACCACAAGAACCTTAGTATGCTTCTTGATTCATATCAATAAGTAAGAAGCTAAACGTTGATTTAGAAGTTTCAGGATTACGAAGAATACCCGGTACCAGGCACATGCAGCGACGACAGGGATGAAGATGATAAGGACCTGCCAAGCGACCTGTACCATCACTCCAATTATTCCCAAAATGTTGATAGCAGCAATAGCAACATATGCAAATTGACCCGGTAATCTCAAATCCGCGACACTTTGGTCTGTAGAAGCCTAAAAACCAAGATTGAAAACAGAGTAAATGATCAAGGATCTTTTTTGTTATTTTCCTTGCGGAGTTCGTGTAACCAAGCATATGCAGTTACTTACTCTATTCAAAATTCTCCCCATTGGAGTGGCATCAAAGAAAGACATTGAAGCACGGAAAATGCAGTGATGCATTTGGGTGAAGAGTTCAGTAGCCATCTTGAAACCAGTCATCGCAACCAACAATGCTCTGACAAGTATGCAGAAAGAGCTTGCGATGGCAAGAACTACATAGACTAGAATCAATGTAAAGCCGCTCACAGGAAGTTCCACATCCTTGGAAACAGGAGTTACCCAAGTCATCCAATAGTTGCTCCCAATGTTCAGAAGCTGAAAGAGAATCTGTACTAGCAATATAAACGGAATAAGTGATCCTCCGTATGCTAGTGCTAAGTATTTTTTGTACACAGTGAAACCAACTTTGCCCTTCTCCCTTTCCTCTTCTTGAACTAGTTGTCCTCTTCGCTTACCCGAATCTTTCTCTAGTCTTTCTTCATCTTTGGGTACTTCTTTTTCTTTAATCATAGTTGAGTTTTCTTTATTCGTAGTTTCATATGAATCAACTGTTGCTAAGGCATCAGTGTGAGCTCCTACAAGTTCCATGAAATCTGTTCCTGAATCGAGAATTTCATCGTATTTCCCTGCTTGTGTGATCTGTCCATCTTTCATAACCTACCAAAATGATTATTTGATGTCATAGATATGTGGTAAGATCATGCACATGCAAGATAGTAGAGTAAACAAGTCAAAAACCAGTATAAGATCAGCTTCAGGCAGAAATTCAACTTGATGAGTGACGTATATGACTGTTTTGTATTTCAGAATCCTCAGCAGTACTTCCTGTTAGAAAAAACAATGAGCGAGAGAGATCATATCAAAATACATAGCAGAAGCCAGCACAAAGTAGATGATAAGAGTCTAGTACTTCAAGTCAAGATAATCAAAAAGAAAAACGATTATTACCTTAAAGAGATGTGATCCAGTATGAGCGTCTACTGCACTAAAAGGGTCATCGAACAGATAAATATCTGCATTTTGGTAGAGAGCACGAGCAATTTGTATACGTTGCTTCTGTCCACCGCTTAGATTGATACCCCTTTCCCCAATAACCGTCTGGTCATGGAACGGAAGCATTTCCAAGTCCTTATTCAAAGAACATGCTTCAAGCACCTGATCGTACCATTCTCTTTCCATTGGCTTACCAAACAGAATATTGTCTTCGACTTTGCCGCTTTGGATCCAAGGTGACTGTGTAATGTATGCCTTTCTTCCGCAAACCTTAATATTTCCAGATATTTTGGGAACTTCACCCAGTATGGATGAGAGTAAACTTGATTTACCCGAGCCAACGGTACCACAGATAGCTACACTCATCCCCTGAGATACTCTGAAACTCACGTCTCTCAGTGTCGGGATTGGGGAAGAGTCATCCCAAGAGAAAGAACCATCACTGAATTCCACAGCCGTTTCTGAACTTCTACTAGTAAGTCTCTCCACAACATCTTGCCGCAAATCATCTAGACATAGAAAAGATGCAATCCTGCCAAGAGATACCTTTGTCTGAACAATCATCGAGATTGTTTCAGGAAGTTTGTAGATTGGGTTTTGCAGAATCCGAAATGTTGCAAGGGCCGCCAGAATCTTCCCTGATTCAAGGGGAATCTTCAGCAACATACAAGCGCCAAATGCTGTTGCAGATATGAAAGAAGGTGCCGTCCACAAAACAGAGCTGATAGCGGCTGAATTATACACAAATTTCTTAAGCCAGCTTGCTTCGATATGTCTAAGTTCAAGAATCTTAGAAAGGAACTTCATCTCCCATCCCTGAAGTTTGAGAATCCTCATGTTCAGTAAGACCTCCGATGTTTTCTTCATCCTGTTGTCTTTGGACTTCATCAAATTGCTCTGAAACTTCTCTTCCAACTTTGCAAAGGGAAAGTTTGCCAGCATAACTAAAATAGTGGCAGGAAAAGCTGCAATCGATCCCAGCCCGAGGCTTTTGTACAATATCCATAAGGCCAAACTAAGTTGTAAAACAAGTATCCATGGATCATGCATAAACCAAGTAAAGGCACTGATCCTGTCAGCATCTACTGCCATGAGATTTATAATCTCACCACTAGTGTGTCCTTGCTTCGAATGACATGGAAGTGTCAAGCCTTTTTCGTAGATCATCGAAACCAGGACTGCTCTCATCCCAATCCCAGATTTTTGACCCCTGAAGAACCAATGCCTCCGCGTTTGGCATTCCACAAGCTTAGCAACAAAGAAAGTTGTCACTAACACATACCCTTGGTATTTATATCGTCTGTGACCGTTCAAGTACTGAACAAAATTATCCATGAGATACGGTGCAACATAGCAAGACATTGTGTAGACAAAAGCAAACAGAGTTGACAAAAGAATATCTCGCCACACTGTGAGGAAGAGTGCCTTGATAAGCTTAAACGTCGTGATCCTTCTTTCACCATCGTCCCATTCGAGCTTACTCCTAAATACCCGAAATAGGTTCTCAGCTCTGTCACAATTGTCAACTTGAGGGACATCCTTGCTATCTACGATTTTCTCATTTCCTAAGGTAATCAAAGGATTCATCCAAGAGAAACTCATCTGGCTTAGAAACCCAGCTTTTGAAAAAGGTGTAGTGACCTCATCACAGCCTTCATTCTCACTTGATTCAGCGTTAGTCAAGAGTGGTTCTTCGAGAAGGTTGATCCTTTCACCTTCTCCTTTCTTCCACAAGCACGAACAACAGAGAAACAAGCCAGCGCAAACACCCACCAAATCAGACAATACAGTGTGAACTGACACCAGTTCTTGCTTCTTGTACAGAACGAAGTCTACCACAAGATGGTAGCAAGAAACCATGAAATACAAAACCCACCAGACTCTAAGCAAAAATGGTAACTTTTTCTCAGTGTATAGACCACAAAGGTAAATAGAGATGGTACCCCAAGTAAGGGAAGCCAAAAGAAGATCTAAGAAAGCCCAACCATTTGTATGCCAGTGAACACAACTTAGCACAGAATAAAACACAGATAATGACACACAACACATAACAACCAGTTTATCACACGTTGAAGACATCTTTTTAAACCCTTCATTAAAATAACCATCACTGTTTTCACAAGCTACCCTCTTCTTGCAAACCCATGAACCAAAAAGAATCAGCAACAAGACCAGATTCAAGGAAAAAGATATCACCGGAAAGTAGAGTGGCTGAAGGAGAAGAAAATCGATAGGATTTTCCATCAGGAAATGAGAATTGACCAAAATGATTACTTAGTCTCGTGAGTGGAGCATATATATAGGCAATTGAGTCAATAAAAAATACTCCTTTGGAAGACCAAGACATATGAAATTATATATAAACAATGACGCAGCAACAACCTTCCAAACAAGAATTTTATAATGTTTAAAGCCTTGTACCAACGTTCGCAGAAACTTCAGTGTGGACAGATGAACAAGCAGACCCATCAAAATCTGACCTAAACACATTAGAACAAATCAATTAGAATGCAAACCTCAATTTCACGAAACTTACAAGAGAAAACACAGACGTAGCTGGTAAAACTCAAATTGGAGTTTTTAGCAGAATTCAACGCGACAGGGAGTGAATGTAGTAGCTCAGTTCTACCTGAAAGCTTCGATTTTTTACCACATCTGTTGTTATTGAGGGTGATGAATTCTTCTTCTTTCTCACTAATTTGAGCGAAGAAATCAGACCACCACTCTAGTAATTGCGATGGCTGATCCATGGTCGGACTCGGACATAGAAACCTCGCCGGATCCACCGAATTGGAAGACACGAATTGTTGGAACTTTGATAACTCAATTACTAAATTCATGGGATTATCACTGAGTGTAGTAATTGAGTTATCAAAGTTCGTACGTATCTCCCAAGATGGGAGGAGGAAAAGAGTTTCATTGCTTTTCATGAACAAGAATCAAGAGCAAAGTTTCAAAAAAAACAAAATCAAGAGAAATGAGAATTATTCAGTATGAATGTTTTTCTTTTATGGGTTATAATTACCAGAGATGTGGCCATTTTTCTATCTATCAGAGAGTTATAATTTGATGATTTATTGTGAAAATGAATTTCTTTCGAGGGTTTTAATGTGGAATATAAACCATTTTAATGTAACGAAAGAAAATAAATACAGTACAACACAAACAGTA